CAGTTCTTCCATCCAGAATGACATCTGCTTAAAAGGTGCTGTGGTACAGCCATGATAAGAAGTCTTGCCCGCTCACTGGTACCCAGCATGGTTGTGTTGGGTTCTGGAATATGTCTGTAGTTGGAAAACCTTCAGTGGAACATCAGCTTTCCATAATGTAGACATCTCAAGAGAACAGTTTCTTCTGGCAGTAAGACAGCTCGAACTGGTAGACTTTATCTACCAGTGACACTCCAAATTTCCTTTGTTTGATCATGGGTGACAATGACCAGGGTTAGTGTTTGGCTACCTTTATCAGCAACAGTCCAGCTGTCCAACAGAAACTTCTCCATTCAGTCTTAGGACCTTTAGGCCACAAGTTACTTCATTAACCCTCAATTGCCCATAGTAGAACCCATTTAGCAGCTCTGGAGGTCACAGTCTGTGGTTCTCTTTCTTGAGTTTAAAGCCAGATTGAGATAGACATGGATGTTTATAGCATCATCAAAAGGTTTGTGTCCAGGAGGTATCTTCTCTTATACCTTGTTACCATTAATGTCAAATTTTCCCTTATACCTAAGTCCTTCATCTGCAAAATGTCAATTCCTATTTCTATGTTTTATTGAAGTACGAAACTTATGCTACACAAGAGCATATTCTCCAGCTCTGTGAGTGCTTCAGCACCCCATAATTTATTTATGTGAATGTTGTTCAGCACCCTGAAGCTATACAAAAAAATAAAAATAAAATAAAATAAACTCAGCGTCCCGATAATTTAGAAAAGTTGGTGTTATTGCACAAGGGTACATAGGAGCACAGTAAAGCGCATCTCTCAAAAACAGTAAAACTCCACAGCAGCAGGTTGTTGTCACAACATCACAATTTCCCTGATTTCACTTACTCTGTGGTATGCTCATGTTTGCTAATTTACCCTACAGGTAAAAATAGTCACCAGAAAATAACAAGAGGAATATATAGTGTGAGAATCGTAAGGTTAAAACTGGAAATTTTGTAAGACACAGTTGAATAAAAGTAAATGACCACAATTTCTTTTTAAAAAAGTGAAGTATATCTATTTAATAAAAGAGCAAGATGTCAAAAACGTGTGCACAGAATACTGAATACCACTTCCATACCAGAGAGAGATATTTTGAAATCCACCATATGTTTTGAAGATATCTCTCTAGATATTCTGTTATAGACTGAGAGGGTTTGACAGTACAAACACAAAAGCTGCAATTCCATATCTCTCAGAATGTAGGCACTACCCATGCTGATGTTATTAGAACAGGCAATCAAAGTTCAAAATTAAATCTTCACCTACAGTATCCCTTAGAAACATCTAAAATACTTAACTAGATGGACACTCAGTAGAGCACCTACCACTGTTACGCAGCATATACCATATTCGGGTTTAAAAAAATACGAAAATGTATCCGTATGTCCGTCTCTATTAATGGACGCAGACCATTTTTGGTAAGACAATGTGGAATAATATTCTACATTAATCCACCAAGTTTCCTCAAAATCCTATCATTTTTGATTGAGTTATAGAGCAGAAACAGTGTGAAAAATAAGTCACCTTGTTAACAGATAGGAATAGTGACCTTGACACTCCAAAAACTAATCACTTCTAAGTTGGGTCATAGTCTAAACGTATTCCAACTTTCGTCAAAACCCATTCAGCTGTTTTCGAGAAATCGTGTTGACAAACACACAAACCATCACACACACAGGAGTGAAAACATAACCTCCATCCACCTTTGGCGACGCAGGTAATTAGGACAAACACCGTAACTGATCGTCTACAATTAGCTCAATAACACCAATACTGCACAAAGCACATTTCCTCTATTAAAAGTCTCCAAGTGCTCTAAAATTACTTATATATTGCTTTTTTTCTTTCTTTGATGTTTTTAAATACATAGAGAAAAATAACAATTGAAAATTATATTGCTAACACTGTTACATTTAGTTAGATCTGTCAGTCTATTATTATTACAATGGGATATAAGTTAAATCCCAACTTAAACTTCAGATGCAAAAAAACTTTTTTTTCATCTAGAATTTCAACTTCTGGATTTACCACAGAGATTTATGTGTTAATGTTTGCGTTTTATGATATTTAACCTTTATTCTGCACTGAAAAATACTAGTTTAATTTAAAATAATAATTATACATAATTGCAACATTGAAATGCTTTACAGAATTACGTAAGTGTATATTATTATAATACACAATTTTGTAATGTTTTAATTTGTTTAATATAGATATTAGCTAGAGAGTGCATAACGTTAAGTTCCGTAAAATATAGAGAGGCTAGTTAGAAAAACTTAAAAGAAAATCAAGAATGTAGTTAAAAGAGTGTAGAGTTTTTCAGAATAGGGAGTTGTTCTAAATATTTGAAGTATTTGGATTTGTGTTTGCTATTATGCATATCAAGTTACATTATACAAGCAAGTTCATTTGTTTTACGTTAGTTTACGTCGTCTGTAACATACGCCTTCAACAACTTATGGCAGTGCACAAATGTTGACATTTGTAGAAACGGTAAAGGAGTAAATAAAATCATTGTCATAGTTTATGTTGACTGGACTTTGAATTTTTTCATTGGATAATTTTAAAGAGCCCGCCAACAAGAGAACAATGTTACAACACTTGAAATCAGGAAAAAGATAATATTTTGGTGAAAGTAAAATTATCTGTTGATGATGATGATAATAATGGCACAGAGTGAGATATAAAACCTGCTAGACATAATAAAACAATGCAAAGAAGAGCAAACAGAAAGAGACAAAGAGAATAAGAAGAAAGGGATAGAAAATTAAAAGAAGACCAGGAAGAACGAGCTCAGAAATTAAAAGAATGGGGCAGAATATTAGAAGACAAAGACAGAAAATTAAAAGAATACCAGGAAGATGAGACAAAAAATCAGAAGCACGTGACAGGAAATTAAGGGAGGAATTAAACAAAAGAGAGCTACTATTTTAAGAAGAATTCAAGTCAACAATAAATTTGATTGAAGACAAAATTGATGAAGCAATAGGGGTTGTACAAAGAGATTTCAAGAGCAAGGTTGGAAAAATGCAGAAAGACATCAAAGAACTACAGAGAGGATGTAATCAGAAAATTGAAAAAATACAGCAAAACTGTAATGACAAAATTGATGAAATAAAGAAAGACATCACTAAGGTAGAAAAGGACACCAGTGACCGAATTAAACATTTAAAAAAACAATCATTAGATGCAAAGAGTAAATCAGCCACTCCTCTTCCTGAATTTGTTCAAGAGTTCCAATCAAAACACTATCTAATACCAGATATGGAAGTGGAGAACTCATTTGGTCTACACCTATTACCATTACTGCTGTGCCAATTGTTCCTGACGGACCTTGCTGAACTAATCCAGCCATGGCACTACTAAATCCAATTCCAGAATTTAACTCGCGAGTTCAAGATCGACTATAATCATTTTCTGAGTGAATGGGGGGAACAGTCAGCAATAAGTTGTCATCTAAAAGATTCAGCTTTGACAACATTAAATAACATTTCAGCACAGAGCCGTGACAACTACCAAGCATTGGTGACCACCTCATCCAAAGGATTGTTGTACCAGAAAGAGTTATCTAGAATGAGGTTTTGGAATAGGGTACAGAGGAAAGAAAACACCTTAGCTGAACTTGAAGAAGCTTGTTCAAGTACTTGACCAACATGTTCCTCGTGAAATCATTGATTTATTGTCAATTGAATAACTTAAAAAGCTATAACAGACGAAGATATGAGGATCAGGCTGAAACAATGTAGATTTACGTCCTTAAAGAAAGCTCTGCAGTTAATGATGGAATTATAATTCATTAAAAGTTACAGATAAATAACTAAAGACACCATCTCGAAGTTATAAGATCGTTAGATCGAGTAGTGTTGAAACATGAACTCCCTTTCTAGCTATCTCTCGCTAACTATGGAACGTCGTACTTATGATCTACGATTGTTCTAGATGTTTCTAGGACTTGTTTGACCTTAATATCATGCGCTACCTAGTCAATAATTAAATTAAACGAATTACAAAATTATAAATATAGTTTATAACATTACCATACTTAACAACGAAACATTATTTGCTAAACTGTTATTTTTCTATTTTTTGCTAAGTGCAAAGCTATACAATGGGCGATCTGTGCTGTTTAGCTGCAAGTATCGAAACCCAATTTCTACTGTTGTAAGCTTTTAGATTTACCGCCGAGCCACCGGGGAGGGGTAATAATGTGTTATGACCTAAATATGTGGGACAACTGCTTATATAGGTATTGCTTATATAGGTACTGTAGCTGACTAATTTAGTAACAGTAAGAGAATCGTATGGCAGGTTGTATGAAGATTAAATACAAATCGAAAGTAGTTTTAATCAGTATCGTTAACCCATGTTTAACAATTCCCTGCAGATTACACTCGTTTTTCGAACTTTTTATTTGATTATTATTAAGCACAAATCTGCACTATAGGCTATCTGTGCTCTACCCACCACGAATATCGAAACTGTTTTTAGCGTTATAAACCTTCAGGAATGCTGCAGAGCCCCTGGGAGGTTTTTTTCAAATTTTACTTAAATTTAAGTTAAAATGTAAGTATAATTGTATCCTAAAATTGCAAAATAAAAAAGGAAGTAACTCTAATACAGTTTAAATTTACTTCCCTTGATGTTTTAGTTTGTTATGAATTTCGCGTAAAGTTATACGTCTCTAATTTATTAACTCTTGGGCTACTCTATTACCAACGAGCCCGTCGCATTATAAAGCCCCCACAGCTGAAAGGGTGAGCATGTTTGGTATGACGGGGATTCGAACCCGCAGATTGCAAGTCCAGCGCCTTAACCATCCGGCCATGCCGGGCCGTTTAATAACACTTTAATAGGTGGGGAAGTACAAAATGTAGAGTAAAACAAACATTGTGAAATACTCTCCAGATTAAAATAAATTCAATGAGGGATTTGAAAATATCGTTTCGGGTAACAGCCCTTCATCGTGTTTGCAATATATATATACTTTATTAAGCACGAAGTTACACAATGGATTTTCTGTGCTGTGCTTATCGTGAGTACAGAAACCCAATTTTTAGCGTTATTAGCCTTCACATTTACTGCTGGGAAATTGGATAGGGGAAGGGCAGTTTGAAATGTAAACAGATGTACTCTCACTCCAAACCCAATGAAAAATACATTGTTTTCAAAATAGACCAACATTTTATTTTGATTTGGTGAATGTTTCGCTTTTTGTTTGTTTCTACGCCATATACTGTTAATTAAACCTATCGTTTACACTATAATAAGCACATAATGGTAGTTATTCTGATACGTAACAAACTCTATCCTACACAGTGCGTCAAGACAAAACATTAAATAGTCAGAATAGTAATGAAATTTGTAATTCGTTACAGTACTCGTTTTTGTTGTAAAGTTATTAACTAAATCCTGGATTTATATATATCGTTTATATGTATAGGAACTAACTATTGTCTTTTTTTGTGTGTGAGTGATATTTGTTTTTATTCAATCATGAAAATGGCGGCGAAAACTTCAAGTTCATCGTCTATCGTAGACACTCGAGCAGAACTCGCAGAACTTGTGAAGAGAAGAGCCGAAATTGCAGTATGTAATAGTCCAGCAAATTAGTTTTAAATGATTTTTTGGGTTTAACATTATAAAAAATATTTGAAACACTTTCTTACTTTGGGTACTTAGGTGTTACCATAATTAGTGTTAAGCCTAACAGTAACACGTTGTGTACATCTTATGTTACTGTTAGGCTTTAGAATTTGTTAGTATTACTAATACTAGTACTACTGTTACTAGTGTTAGAAACTTAAAAGAGAGCTAAGGCATGTAACAATAATTAACTAAGTTGAACAGTGTATTGAATTGGATGTTCATGTAGGCCCAGTGTAGGTTTAGAATACGCCTCTTTTTAAACTTAAAAGTTAAAGCAGTAAACATTATTTTAAACTTATTTATCAAAATATACAAGAAATGCCAATAAAAAGGACGTAATTTGTATACAAGTTATATTTTATAATAAACAAGGATATAACTATATTTAATTATGTTAATATTTTTATTTGTAATCATATTTTGTTGTAGTTAGGATTTATTAGTATTAATTCAATAAATAACAATTGGGCTAGTTGAGAATCAAATGTTGGAACAAATATAATTATCTCAACTAAAGTAAAAACTATCCAGAAATGTGGTCAAACTGGAATACGAAACAAGCAAAGAATTATCTAAACAAGAAATTGAAAAAGTATATTAGACAACACTGGAATAAAGGAAAATGTTATCATATACTATTCCAAACATATAAAAATTGTCAGTAAATATAGATACATTTTAAGTTGTTAAGGATACATTAATGGAAAAAAAAACCAAAATGAAAATATACAAAATCATTAAGAGTAAGAAATATGCATAGTACAAGGCCAAAGGAGACAAAACATAGAAGTACAAGGCCTATCGTACTAACAACACATGAAAAGCATAACATTTAGTGACTTGTTATAACATAATACGAAAATAAGCTACTGCTTGAAGAGTTAAATGGTACCTGATTAAGGCATTGAAGGTTATTAAGGAAATTCATAGAATCATTGCATCATTTTTTTATTTTATTTAATGGTGAGTGTGGTTGGATAAGGGACCATGTATATATTTTGACAGGGTAGAAGTAATCTTGAAATAAAGACAGTTTTATTTTTTTAACTGGGTGGTTTAAGGGAAGGCTTTATAAAATATTTAAATGATTAGGGATGGATTTACCATTTACTTTTAGAAGTGGATGGGATAATAATGTTAAGTTATAGAAAAGAAGCATTATATTAAATGTACATTTTCAATTACAACATATAGTTATAACATTGATCATAAAAGTAAAATACAATTACTTCATTTTCAGTCAGCTGAAGAGAGAAACAAAAGCAGTAACTGTAAATGAACATTCCAGGGAAATGAATATGTTCAACTTAATTTGATAGAGAATAGTACATTGTAACTTAATGAAAAGCATAACAGGTTAAAAATTTGTTCATAAGTCTGATAAATATTTTATTACATAATTCATTACCTTTGTTGTTCAACTAATTTTTTTTATAAAATCTGAAATAAGTTGGTGCTTTTACCTCATCCTAATGACATAATGAAAAATTCCTATTACATCAAACAGAAATTTAAAATATGTTGGTTAAGTCTTCTCAAACATTTGGGTGATATTTTTGTAAGTGAAATGGTTTTGTTGAAATATTGTATAATTATTTTCAAAATGCCATTTACTTTCTGGCCATGATATTTAAAAAACTCTAACGTCAAAATGATTTTTACTTTAAAACACAAGATTATCTTAAATGTTGGATAATCAAGAAGATTTGATTTAGATATCCATGATGGTTCAGATTGAGCAAACTGCCTGTTGGTACTTTTTTACTAATAAGGATAAAAGTAATTTGAGTTTGAAAGTTTATACCTACAAGCTTGAAAAGTCCAGATACAGGCTTGATCATAGAAATAATTGTTTTGTGGTTGCCTCCTTGTGGCTTAGTAAGGACTTATAATGCTACAAATCAGGTTTTAATGCAGAGGTGGACACAGCACAAAAAGCCCATAAGAGTTGTTTTAGGCTTAACTCTTTCACAAAGGGTTGGTCAAAATGTGTAAGTCACAACCTTTTACAGAGTTACATTCAAAATGTAACTAATTTATTATTGATGTATATGAAATAACTTGTCATCATAATGTAGTTAATAAGTCAAATTTTACTAATATATAACTAACTTCTTGATGTTATAAGGAAATATTTAAAAAATATTCTATCTTCTTTAGTACGAGTATTGTTATATTTGCTCTCTAGGTCTTCCCTCTTCTCTAAGATATGTACCACCACTCTGAGAAGTATGGAATTTAAAATAAATTACTTATTATACTATAGATATTGCTCAAGCAAAGCATAATTTTTATAGCCTTCAATCTTATTTGTTTATGGAGCTATAAACTATAAAATGAGACCCACTTGTCATGCCCACCTGTTACATCCTTTCTTCCACAAATGGCCAATAGTTCTCTCTTATGTTTTATACTGTTACGTCTCTATATGTTTGTTTGTTAATTCTTCTACGATACAAGTCCTTTCTTTATAAAACTTGTTTATTCTTCCTCACTACAACTTTGTAATGCACTTAATTTTCACAGTTACACACACTATAGTTCACAACAATTCACTCACTTTCTATCGCGCTTAGACTTAATTGTCCGTCCCCGCAAACTATAGTTCCGATCTCTGTGTCTGCTATCCTCAGTTCCCGCCGACCGTAATCGCTGTCTTTCTTCCTCTCTGCCTGCTTCGTCTCTGCTTCCATCTGTCTCCACTACTGCTTCGACTCCGTCTGTCTCTTTCACTGTCTAGCGCACTTATATACGATAATACTGCCTGTTCTAGAAACTTCTAAGACTCTCAACACGTGCTACCAGCATCAAGTGACTCCCGCTGTCGCAACGCACTAGCGAATCTTCTAGAATATTCGTTACGTGACCCTGCTGTCGTAACACACTAGCGAATCTTCTAGAATACTCGTCACGTGACCCCCGCTTTCGTAACACTGCCCCTTCCTTAGTATTGTTCGTCCCGAACAATAGCCACTTACATTAACTAATAACAATTAACAATAACTTAATTAAATGTACAGAATTTACAAACACAAAATT